GTCAGTCAGACCCTGTAGCTGTCAGTCAGACTCTGTAGCTGTCAGTCAGACATCTGTAGCTGTCAGTCAGCTGTCTGTAGCTGTCAGGCAGACATCTGTAGCTGTCAGTCAGCTGTCTGTAGCTGTCAGGCAGACATCTGTAGCTGTCAGTCAGCCGTCTTTAGCTGTCAGTCAGACATCTGTAGCTGTCAGTCAGACTCTGTAGCTGTCAGTCAGACATCTGTAGCTGTCAGTCAGACTCTGTAGATGTCAGTCAGACGTCTGACTGACATCTACAGACGTCTGACAACAGAAATATATAAAGTGTTTTTAGGGAAACCTGTTGATCCTGAACCCTAACCCTGAAGAGTTTATAACCCTGATCAGACCTAATCAGGTCTGAGGTCTGATCAATAAATTTATCTTTTCTTTTATTCCATTAAAATGACACAACTTGTACAAACCAGTTTTATCACCACTGATCTTATTCTGAAGGGATGCAACACTAACCTCAGCACGAGGACAGGTGATAAACACAGCACCAGTCACGTGACCAGGTCTTAATATGACTGGGTCACGTGACTCATGTTTAATGGYACTGATATGATCGTATCAGTTATTGATCTCCTGGTCTGGAACAGCCGCAGCTTTAAATCAACCTTTATTACAAATTAAATTATGAGTCAGCTTCAGTGACTTTTATCTAAGTAACTTTCTTTACATTTGTCTTAAATAAAGTTTATTATCAGCTGACTGGGAGCTACATGCTAACAGCTAACAGTCTGCGCTAACCGCTAAGTGAGGACCGTCAAGGTGACGTCAGCCCTTTCTACGTCACACGTCTAGGTTATGACCTCACCGTGATGATTGACAGCAGCTTTAAAACAATAAAACCGTTCAAACGGAGTGGACTCACCTGTAAACACCGCGCTGCTGGGCCGGAGCGATCTCTGACGTCACTTCCGGGTCATACACCGGCTTCTTCTCCTTCTTCCGTTTCCAGCAGTGCAGACCATAGACATCCATATAATAGACTCCTATTGGAAGCTGAATGGTATAACCACGTGGCCGCCATATTGGAGGGGGCAGAGAGGACAAAGCTAAATGTCTCGTAGTTGTGTAGTTGTGTGGTTGTGTAGTTGTGTGGTTTGTAAATATTTAAACACTTCAGATGTCCAAACAAAATRAGACAGAATTACCTTTAAACAGGTAGGATTAACCCTTACTACAGACTGCAGATGTATGCAGCTGTGCAGTGTCTCTGCAGGAAAATACATCCCATTTGTCTTTAGAAACATCTGCAGGTCTGTTTTTGACCAAATGTACCTCAGCTTTAGTGTTTTACTCTGTATGCTACATAAACTGAAGATCAAAGACACAAATGACATCATTTTAAAAAAACAACAGCACACAGGCGTCCTATGGCGTGTATACAAGCATGGACCATAAGTTATCCTAACWTTGGTAAATATCATCTACCCTGCTGGTTGGACTGGTTTCTCTGGCTTGCTGCTGTTGCGGCGTGTCTCGGTGGAGTGGTGGATGTGGATGGAGTCCCTCGGCCCTCRGACTGACCCTCGTGATTGGACGGAGCGCCTGGGCCTGGACGCGTGGCGGTGGGAGCYGGGACGGACTTGGAGACAATACAGGAAAAATATATTTCAACTGGTAAAGTTCCAGTCCTGAAAAATAAAATTCATGGTTGAATGCCTCTATAATACATCTCCTAAAGTTGAAAGCTTCTTCAATGAAAACTT